TCCCTACAGCCCACTGTCCTTCACCCAGTCACACCTCCCACGGCTGTGGATTCCTTTGCGCACTGCCACAACAAGGGTCAAGAGCAGTCAGATTGAAAAGTGGGCCATCAGCTCAACACCATTAACGCCCCCAACACACGCCCATCTCATAACACCTTCCCTCTCTCCTCCCTATTGCACTCGTGCTGGCCTCTCACTCCCTTCCATACCCTGCCAGCCCAGAAGGCCCTCAGCCCCTTCAGCATCGCCCACAACTTTGCACCAAGAAGTTCTAGACAAAAGGTAACGGACAAGGATCCTACCATCCTCCTTTACGTCACATTCAGCTGCCCGCACAGCGGTCGGGCTGCTCTTTGGCATGTCACTGACATCTGCAGAGAGATCAGAGAACAACTACAGGCCCCAGAGAGGTGACCCTCTGCCCAACTTCAAGGCATCACCCACTGACATATCTTTACCAGGCCCATCACCCTGGACCTCAGCACATTTTTTTTTTAACCTCCAAACCTGCACAAACTTTAATTCAATTGAAGAAATTAAATTAAGCACGTAACAACTTTCTGCAAAGGTGACCCAGTACCTTATAATCCAAAAAACCTTCTGCTCCAGCCTTTTGGTAAATTCAGCTGGTGAGATATGCTGCCAAAGCCAATATCCCATACCTGCACTTTCTGTAGAAGAGCATCAAGCACAGAAGCCCTAGATGGGTAGCAGTCAAGTCACCAATGGAAAGAAAGGAGACGTCCTTCCTCTGCCCATCTCTTCTCCCATCTTGACCGTTACCAGAGGAAGACAGGCAAGGAGGCTTTTGGAATTTATGGTGCCCACAAAAAGTAGAGAAAAAATGAATCGAAAGGTGCTGCTAACATTTTTTTTTTCAAGAACAACTGGAAGGGGGCAGAGATGGAAAACCAGACAACTGCAGCTCGACGCACTGAGGGTAAGCATGCAACTGAGTTTTTCCTTCAACCCAGCCAAAGCAAGGACCAGGCAATTCTGTTCACCAGATTAACACAGTACCTGTCTGCTGCTCCTTGAATAGTATTTTAAGATATAACTGAGATGAACTAACAGTGAACTCCTGAGAGTCTGATGTGGCAATACTTTTGGCTGCCATCACTAAATCTATTACTACATGCGCAGTCACAGCCTCCCACTGGAAACATCAGCATTCTGTGTCAAATCCAATGCACAGATAAACCCCACCATCTTTCAGGACCAGACAGAACTGCCCAGCCCAAAGCATTGCATATGAATACTCGGTTCTGAAAAATGATAAACCAAATTCCTGAAAGAAGTTTACAGGAATGAGACAGGCTGCTCAGATTAAAAGACACAGAACCTCATATTTCAGCACAGAAAATAAGCCCCGATTCCACTCCTCATCCCAGGGCCAGCTCCTGTTCCCCATTGTCAAACGAGAATTCACCCTGAAGAGACCTACTGACGAGGCTCCTCTCAGGCCATTCACTTTTGGTAACTCCACACCCCCACTAAAGCACACACAAAATGCAGGTTCATATGATTTTCCATTACTGCACCTCATTTGAGACTTTAAGGCTGAGTCTTCTCATGCTGAAAATTACCTTAGAACACCTACACAGTGCAAAAAGGGGAAGAGAACATGAGAACATTAGACGCCTTGTTCCAACCAAGAGCAGATATTAAAGACAGAGAGACACTAAGCCAAAGAAGTGCAACTAGAAGTTTTGGTAGACAGTTAAAGGTTAAAGGAAATCTACATTTCTCATCTCATACCTGAGTTGGACTGTTCTTGGCAGTTTTCATTTAATTTTGTCTCCTCATCTCCTATAAAGAAAAGAAAATTTTTGACATATGTATTAATGACCTGGAAAAAATAATCTGTAAAATAACTAAGGCCCAAAAGAGAACATGCTCCTTTACCTCTCCAATGAAAGACTGTACTGCTACAGAAAAAAAATACAAGCCTACAAACAAATTAATGCAATAGCCTGAATTCCACACATTCATCACACTCCAGCTCTTACTTGGATCATGCTTCTGAAGATTGGGCTTACATCTTCCATTTCTAAGTGGACATCCAACTGCATCAAAAACAACAACAAAAAAAAGGATAAAGCACTCTAATAAAATCCTGTGCTTTTGTACACTAACCAACAGCCTCCACCTCCCACAAATAAAGAATATTTTGAGTACAATGGCATGGATGAGTAAAGAGACCAATAAATTATGATTCTGCGGCAAAGAAAAGCCATGAACCCCACTACAGCCAAGAAAGTTCCCATTCACTCCCTCTAGACTCTAGAAAGATGATTCTTTCATTTTTCCCTAGAAGAATGACTATGTTAAGGATCGACAAAAAACAGAATGACAGCTACAAATATGGACAGATTTCCCCCTCTTCACTGTCCAGGCATAATCTATGGAGCTGTAAACACCTAATCCCAGCTGTCACAACTGTTTGCAGGAAAGATGTGAATGAAAGGCTCTTTTGACCTGCTTACCAGCCCTCATTACGACATGAGGGTGTCTCCTGAGGATTTACAGAACTCCTCTCACACTACCCACTCTCATGCAGGGAACCACTGCCCCAAATTCCACCACAAGAAACTGCAACACACAGGAAATAGTGCTTTCCCCCTACCCTGCAAATACAATTTGTCTCCTTGAAAGCCAACAATCCAATCTGTTTAAACTGTAACATACTCCATAACCTTTAAAAGCAACATATTAGGAGTTTGGTGCTCCTTACTATTAATCATATTTTATACCAGGCAGGTGTTAATATCTAGAGAAAGAAAACTCTACTTCCATGCCACCTGCAATGTGCTAGCTGAGAATTTCTCAGCCATATTAATTGGCCCCAGGACCAAACAGGATGTTTTAGTTTCCAGTCCTATGTAGTGTCTGGGATATGTGGCATAAATGGCAAGAGAGCGTAAGCCCAGGACATAAAGAAAATGGAAGCTCAAGAACCTCACTACTAATGAAGGGAGAATAATTGTGGTATCTATTCAGAACAATGAGTTGGCTCTTATTGCCACACTCCACACTCAAACAGCCCAAAGTTACACTTGTCCTTACAAGCTCCCGCATCTTGTTGATATTGATCAAAATCCCCTAAGCATTTCCCTTGACATTTATTTACGAATCCTTCCTGATTCTCTCTCTGGAAGAAAAGTATTAGATCCACTTTTTTTCCTGAAGACAAAATGAGGACCAAAAAAAAAAAGAAAAGAAATATTATTATGGTCAAAACTTGACTTGGTCAAATCTCATTTTGATCACTTCTATCCTCAAGCACTCCATTTGATGCATGCAAATTTATGAGTGATATGCTAAGACTGTAGGTCCAAATAAGCCCTCAGAAAAACAAGCACATATTTAGTTTTTTGTGACTTACAACCACCCTAAATGTAAACCAGAATCTAGCCACACTATCTATGTATTTTTACATGAACTTTCATTATTTTTGAGTAGTTAAGAGCAAAAGTTTCCTACCACAAGTGATCTATCAGCTATATAGTCAAATAATTAATGTTTACAAATAACAAATACAGTGCAAAAATATTACAAAATCATAAGACCCTTATATATAAATAATATAATCCTTAATATAAAGCATTAAAGGATCAATGGAAGGGACCTTTTGCAACAACATGTAAAAACACATCTAAGCAAATTTAAAGCAGAACTCTGAAGTTCATGATGTACAGTCTTGTACTATCATTAACAATCACATCTTCTGTTTGATGATACACCTGCAGTGCTTACCCTACTGACATATGGCAAATGTACTTCCTACCATGGTCAGGAACAGAGCAATCAATTCTTTATTGTTTCAGAGGAAGCAGCTGGACTATTTCAACCCCTAGTCTCTATGAGTGACATTTAACATCAACACTGTTTAACATTAACACTGTTTAACATCAACAACTCGAACAAGGACAGAAGGTCTCCTCAGGCAGTGTCCAGATTCAGCTGCTGGGGTGGGTAGAGGTTATGCTAGAGGCCATGACTACCCGTCAGAGGGACTTCAGCAACCTGGAAGAATGGGCTAGTAGAAAACACATGATGACCAACAAGTCCTGCACCTGTTGAAATAACTGTGCCGCAGCACAGTCTGAGTACTGACTGGCTATAAAGCAGCTCCATTTCTAAGGATCTGCGATTGCTTGTGGATGACGATTTGAACATTGGATGGCAACTTGCCCTTGTAGCAAAGAATATCAGCTGTATACTGGGATGTCTCAGCATGAGTGCAGCCAGACATTAACAGAAGTTAATCTTTCCCTCTGTGCAGCATTTGTGAGACATATGTATTTGTCTGGTGCACTGGGTCTAGTTTTGGATTCCCCTGTACATGAAAAACATCAGCATATACTGAAGGAAGCCCATCAAAGGTTTAGCAAGAAAGGGGACAGAAGTTGTACAAGGAGAAGTTGACAGAACTAAGTTTCATCAGCCTGGGAAAAAAAAAAAGGCTAAGGAGACCTCCAACTGCAATCTTTTGGTAAATTATAGAAAAGACAAAAAAAAAAAAAGTCTCAAGAGGTACGCAGGAAAAGGACAAGAAGCGTTGGCTGCAAGCAACAGGGGAAATAGTAATGGGACATAAGAGAAAAAGTGTTCTGTTCTTTAAATAAAATATTCAAATTCAGGATAGGCAATATATGCTGGCAGAAGGTGCAGAAATCTTGTCTATCTGAGCAACACACTAAACTATCAGATTACACTTGGCACAAGGTATTCAACATGCTCTGATGAAAGCCTGTTCCAACAGTAAATCTCATCTTGAGGGCAGCTTCATGATACATCCACTTGGTAAGCAGAAACACAGAGCAAACAAAACACCCAGTCTGAGGGAGAAATTTGCTAATACGCAGCACTTCGGTGTTGCCCAGTTCACACAGCATACAGTCCAAATGTTAAGTTGCACTGGTTTCTGGTAATTTAATTACAATACATTACATGTCCAGGCACTTTCATTCATTCTACGGAATCTCAGACTAGCATAATATCAAAGCACATTCATCACCATTAAGTGATATATATACCTTTTTTGTATAAGATCACAAATATTATCACAGCTGCAATTGTCACAACACAAGCCGCGATAAGACCACCTCTACTTCTTCCATGAGGTATTTCCCCTTTAAAAAGTAAAATAACAATTGATTAGCTAAGAAGCAGTATTTTCATATTACAGACACAATTTCACTAGAAATACAACTCTATGTATAACGTCTAGAAATGTAAGCACCAGAGTCAGTTACCAGTGACATCTTAGGCCAGCTCATGTGGCGACTACATTCAATGAAGACATATCACATCTTGAAAGGCAGTGGAGTTTCAAGATATGTGGGGTTTTTTTTGGGGGGGAGGCTGGGAAGGTCCAAGACAGATCTCAGCTAACTGACAGTTCAGCAAATGTCTCATTTGTAACTGGTCTCTAGCACATGCTTCTAGTGAAAAATTCTATAGTGAGAAAAAAAAATGTAAAAATTGCCTTTGCAGTCACTCAATGACAGAATTTTCAATTTCTGTGCCTTACACATTCCACAAACCAGATTGTTCCAAAGAAGTGTCTTATCCTATGTAAAAAATGCAAGCCTCAAGTTCACTTCAAACTGAGTTAAGGTTGGCCCTTAGGAGGCTGGCCCTCCTTTCTCTGTCCAACTGTGAAGGAGAAAAAGAAGCATGCTCTAAAGTATTACCTCATACACATAGCAGATGAGAAGCAATTTCATCTGATGGCTGTTTGATGACTCACTTGAAGTGACCATGTAGTTTCATTTCAGTTCAAGGAAAGCAGTGCAAAGAGCACTGCAGTCACTAGTATTACACCATGTGAAGGCCAGAAGATTTAGGATAGAGATCTGCTAAGTGCACAGAAAACATTCCTCCTCTCTCTGAGCTTCCTTATCACTCATTTAAAGCCAAAGGCGACATCCTTATTTTGTTGAGAATCCTGAAAAAGGGTCCTTCCATAGAGTACAAATTGTCAATATAGCATCTTTCATCAACTTTAAACATTTTTTAGAAATCAACAGACTTCTGATGCTTCTTTAAATTCAGCTTCCTGAGAAGTCAGCACAAACTTTGCAGTCTGCCTCTCAAGCGAATCTCTCAGAATTGCGCATATCACCTGACCCGTTATTTTTATTACCTGGAAAGCATTCAGCCAAAGAGAATTCAGAGCTCTTTGCTGTTTGAGAGACTTCAATGAGGCATGTCACTTTCTCTGAAACATCAACATTCTTTTTAAGGAAGACAACATTTTGCTGCTGCTTATAGTCTGTTATTCTACCAAAGTCCCAACTGTATGTCAGAGGTCTCTTGAAATCTGCAGCACACATTAACACGAGGTTGTCGTCACTGACATTGCAACTTATTGTAGGTTCAGAAGGAGGATCTGAAAGAAAAGAAAACATTCTCTATTAGTGTTGTTATAAACTGTCTTGCATTTCAGCATGTGATCTGGGCAACATAAGCAGCAGGAGAGCGCACAGACAGAAGTGTACATAGTGGTATGCATGTCAGAGAGAAAGCTCAAGCACATCTTATGTACCTTCAGCTTGAGACACAGATAAAAGCTCTATATTTCTACAAGCAGCCTGTCTTGTGGTTCTTCAGTGCCTCATGTGAGACCCTTTATGGTTGATTTTCAGCTGCTCTAAAACATGTTGACCACATCTATTTCCCAAAAAACATCACTGGAGCTGCGCAGATCTGCACAGAATAATGCCATAAGATATTCCAGCACATGTAACAGCACATAATGCCTGCAGGAGCATCTTTAACAATAGAGGCATATTCTAGATGTCTTTGCTTGAGCAGGGGGGTTGGACTAGATGATCTCTAGAGGTCCCTTCCAACCTCAGCCATTCTGTGATTCTGTGATATTGCTTGAGGTAACAGTTTGCTTCATTCTCTCTCTCTCTGGAACTGCACCGTGCCATTCAGACATGATCCAAAAGCCATGCCAAGCTGAGTAATGATGGGCACACAAATTAGATGTTATCTTTGAAAGGTTCTTTAAGTGACTAAGCAACTTAGCAGCTGAGCTAAATAACTCTGTTTGCTCCCCTGACAAATAAACATTCCTTTTCTTGAAGTCTTAAAGAGGAAAAAAATATGTACAAAAGTTCTTTATACAGTTCATCCACAACTTACCTAACACAGTAAGTATAAAGGTTAAACTGACACTGTTTTCATCAAAAGGCAAATACTCCAACACATATGTGGCAGTGTCATTCTCCTCTAGGTTAAATATGGTCAAGCTGCCAGTCTCGTTGTTAAGTGATCCTCTGTTCTTCAGAGAAGTAAAATACACAGCTTGGCTTTGTTCATCCCATTCAGCAACTTTATCTTTGTTTTTCTTCCAAATAATTTCCACTAACGATTTGTTTATTTTTACTGGAAAAGTATAATTTTCTCCCAAGATGCCAAACACCTCTTCACAGTGGATGTGTGCTACAGGGAGGAAAAAAAAGAAAGAAAAAAAGAAAGAAAGAAAGAAAAAGTTATTTTACCATTTTTTGTTTGTTAAATTTCTGTTTGAGCAATGCTGTACGCAGTTGCAGATATATTCAAAGTTAGGATAAAAGCATATCATGGATGTTAATGATCTCCAGCATGTCCGTTAAGAACCATGTAAACCCAGCCTGCCTCCACAGGCATGTAACAGGCTTTACAGAACAGTCTCATTTCTACATCCAGGTCTGAGTCAGCTAGAAGAGAAGATGAGGACAGTAATTCTACCTTAAATCAAACACTTTCCCTCTCTCCATCTGAATTACATCACATTACATTACATCAAACCACACATCTGAATTACATCATCTGCTCCTGCTCATGGCCTGGTAAAAAAATAAATAAATAAGAAAAGAAAAAAGAAAAAAGAAAAAAAAATGTCACCAGAAAAAAAAAAAATCTCAGCATCTAGGTGGCGAATGCACAGACTGAAATTCCTGCCGAGCACTTTTTCAACATCTTATAAGTTGGGTAACTATTCACAGAGTTAGTAGAAGGCATAGTTCTGACAAAAAATTACTACCCAGTTCAAAGTGCAATGAAATTATGGGAATACTATGGATTTCCTTTGGAAATTTCAGTTAAGATATTTTTAACAGGGAAAAATAAAGGATTTTTCACAGATTTCACTCTGGGAAGCGGTCAAGCCTTTGAGACAGAACATTTGCTCCATTCTGCATTATGTCACCAAAAAAGCCAGCTTATTTCATAGCCAACATATGCAAAATAGCATCTGCCCTGTGAGAGTCTGCCACAGATGCAATCATAAAATGTGAGCTCTGCAGAACCGTAGCTATTAGTTGACTATTAGCTAAGGTTCTGGAAACAATCATACTTTATTGAAGAAAACAAACAAATAACCAGAAAAAAAAAAGACAAAAAAACCCTAAAAAATCAGTATTATTTGAACTAAACTTAAAATACACAGCATATGCTTGGTACAATTGAATCTGAGACAGGGAAGGTAGGGGACCCTTTTGAAAGGATGCTGCCTCGATCTCAAGTTAACATCTCCCGATCCTGAAAGGTTTTAAAAATCACCACGGGGAGATTCCCAGTATGCATCATGGGAAACTCCCCTTTAATCATGGATGGTGAAAGTGAAAATTTTAGAAGCCTACTCTCGATTTCCTTAGGCCAGCCGTTCCCAAGTGACAGCTACCTCCTTTTTTGATTTTTATACAGCATCAACTCAAGGGCCTACTGATCCTTATTCTGTGTTTCCCATGCTTCCATGTCATCATCATAGCATTAAGAACTCACTTCCATTCATAAATCAATGCAGATACTATAGCTTTATCACACCAAAACAACAATTCACTTCCCCTCGCTGTATGTGTTCAGGAAACAAACCATGGCTCATACCCAACGTCACATCTTTCCATATAAAAGCAGGTAGCAAGCCTGCCAGGTCAGTCCCAAAGTTATACTTGTCTGCACTCTTCTTACACCATGACCTTTTCAAAGCACAGGGATGAATAAATTAAAAGGGCTCAGCTATCACTCTCATATCATTTCAGTACAACCTGCCTCTGCCTTCCTTTATCCTCTATTCCTTTTGCATTGATTTAAACATCTCACTTGTTTCTGCTGATCCACAATGAATATCACTATCCATCCATGTCAGTCATCAGCTCCCAGAGGAGAAGGGAATCTGGGACTCCAGTGTTTGTTTTCAGGTACCACTGGAATGTAAAACCTTGCTTTGATCTGTGGAAGCTTGGAGTCTTACCAGGGACTCTGGTTTCACAATGACAATCTCTGCAACCACACTTCCCTGAAGAAGTTCTCTTCAACTGCCTAGAGATGTACAGCACTCCTAGCGTGAAGCAGATTGTGGAGCAACCTGCACATCAAGTGAGTGGCAAGAGTAAGATAACAGATCTCTGTACTGGGAGAAGAGCAGCCACATGCTGAGAGCTGAAAACATGAGCAAGAGCAGCCACCACAGCTCAGTCAACTCCTAGAAACATGGTAAGCCTAGGTGTGGATGCATGAAAACCACGAACAGCTCCGCCAACTTTCAGTTAGTTTTAAGAGCCTTTTGGGGTTATACGGGCAACATGGCTTCTCCTTCACACCCAGAAATGGGACTTGAGGAGGGAAGAACTGAAAGGAAAGAGATGACGCGTTCCCTCTGCACAGCTTTTGTTTGGCAGAGAGGTGCATTTCGGTGTACTCTCTTCTTTCTGGCTGGTGAAAGAAAGACTCTTCAGCAACGAGCTGAAGGGTTACTGCACACAAGGACATTGAGGGCTCTGAGGAACAGGAAGACCATCACATCTCCTGTCTAAAACCACACAGACACCCTTACTTCCCTGCTTAACTGCTCTAGTGAAAACAAAGTTAGTTCCCACTCATTCTGGCAAACTTCCTTTTTACAAAGAAAATACATGTCATGCAGAAGTGTTCTGCAAGGACTCCACAGCAACTTTTTGAGCTTCTTAAAAAAAAGGGGGGTGGGGAGGGGAGATATAATTTTACAAGAGAGCAGATTTATTTTCCACTCCACTCTCTACTTCTCTACAGCACATCAGCCAACCAGGACAAAAAAGAGTCAAATGCTCTCTCTTACATTCCTTGTCTTCTTGTTCGGAGGGCTCAAAGTAAGAACATTACTTCTCTCCTTTCTTCCTCCATCCTTATTGTATCCTGTCATGCAGCATGCACTACTGCCTCAAGTAGCCTCTACATAAATCATAAGACTTCTACCCCCTCTTTCCTCCTTCAAACCATTTCAAATTCCTTCTCATACCAGATCTTTGTTTTCTATTCTTCAAAACAAACTGTTTAACAACAGTGTGATTTATTAAAAAAAAAAGAGTGACTAGCACTGTGCAAGCCAAGAATCTTCTACACCCTCACAAACTCATTCTGCCTACATCATCTTGTATTTTACTCCTTCAGCTGCCAGATATCTTTGCCTCACAGCCTCCTTGTCTAATCAAACTTGACTGAGCTATGGTGACTGCATGGGTGTACAGATTTGTCCTGCAGCAAGCAGAAATCTTTTAGCTGGGCTTGCAATACATAAAAATTATAATATTTCAGCCTTTTTCATGCATTAACACAAAGCCTGAAACTCCATGCTAATGCAATCAGTTCTCTGAACAGGTAAGTCAGACTGCATTCTTTTCAAGACAAGGCAAAGTCCTTCCCTCCCAATATAATATATAGCACGTGTACAACCCAGTGTGCTGTACGTGAATTGTAATATTTACCTGAGCATTTTTGCTTTTTGGAACTGATGTAAGGATTAGCTTACATCAATAGTTATTGCCATTGCTTAATGCCATCACTATAATCTTTTAGGTAGTGAGTAGCTGTTTGAAATGCATATGTTAGGCTTATATAAGCATTTGTTAGGTTCCTGTATTATAATTATTAAGGTGCTAACACTCCATCTGCTGAAGCAGGGTGGTAAAATACTTACTGATTACATTATGGCAAGGAGCTGCCTACCTCTATATTAAGGCTTTTTTAGAAAAGGGGATTTTTATTTTATCTCTTGCAACTGCCCAGTTATCCTTATTTATTTTACTTTTAATTATAAATTTCTCAGCTACCGTAAGCCGCACAGTTTACAGTCTATCCTAAAGACCAGAACCCCTAGTTTTAGACAATCCTAGAATAAATGTTCAATACAGAAGGCCCGGAGTATTCACTTCAGACTTCCTGTTCACCCAGAGGCCACAAACATCACTCATATCCCAAACCCCTCTAAGAATGTGTTTAGGCCCACGATATAGAAGCAGACACAGCAAATCTACAGTCAGACACAGAAAGAATGCACAAGGCAACAAGCTGTACCTAGTGCCTCAGGCTACTGCAATAGTGCCCCAGATTTGTAAAAGAGGGACTGGATGAGGACTCCTGCTCTGCGATACCTACAGCAGAATTTTTAGCTTGCGTCCTGTGGCCAACTCAGAGGTGTGCATTGCTGTCTCTGGACTACATGGGGCTGCCTGCAGCTACAAAGCTCGACAATTGCAGACAAAGGCAGGTGCCTTTGGCACCTGAAACAAGCTTGGGCCCTTGGTTCTTTCCTGTCATTTTGAAACAACACTGCTCACCAAAAAGGTGGGAGTGTCTGCCTGCTCCCCCTCCTCCCCACCCAGTCATTGGCAACGATACAGCCAAGTAGAGAGTATAATCAGGAAAAAAAAAAAAACATGGTTGAAGTTTTTTTTTTTTTTTTAAAAAAAAAGGAACAGAAAGGTTAGACTTCCTAGATATGACTTGCTGCACATGTGGGACTGCAAGAAGAACTTCAGTGTTGGTGCATGGGCCGGAGCAGAAACCAGCGAGTTGGGGAGGGCACCCATAAGACTAGTCCTTGGTTCAGACATACAGGCCAAGTTCAGACTGCAGCAGTGACTGCACCCACACCAAAGAGCAGGCTACTTAGAGTGGCTATAAGGAAGTGACAGTTCAAGCTGTGTCTTAAGTCAAACTTTCTTCATGTGCTTCACAGATGGCTCCTGCCTCTCTGCACTCCAGCTTCACATCTCTCAACCTTCCCAGGATGGAAGCACAGCTTTCCAAAACGCTGTCAGGGATGGAGACACTGCCTCCCTTTTCTCCAGTAACTCACTGGTCAAACTGCTTGGGACATTTTCCTACAGTAGACAGATAAAATGCACACTCAGCTGGAAAAGAGCCTAAAAACTTCCCACAAACGTCCTGACCATGAGACAGAGACACAGCCCCCTCCCAACCCTTCCTGAGCCCAGCTGTGTGACAGCTCTCTGTGCACAGTTTGGAAAGGAGGAAGAAAGCAGCACATCCATCACCACACACCCAGGGAGCCTATGGTGGGGCTAACAGGAGCCTCAGTGACTCACAGAAGGGCTTTTTTTTGTGGATCCCCACAGAGATTAGGCACATGCAAGATCTGGACATTTCTGAGGAAAGAGCCCGAGGTGCAGGGAGTACAGAGGACCCAAACTTCAGCTTCTCAGAAACACAGGTGCCACCAGAGCCAGGCACCAGCTTGGGTGGCCTATTCTGGCTCACAGCTCAAGGTTTGTGAATAGAGAAAGAGGTGAAAATATCTGACAACTTTTGTGAGTTTAGCCCCACAGACTGACTTTTAGAGTGGGAAATAATAGCAAGACTTTTCAGTATGGAAAGTCTCCTCCTCTCCCCCGGACTCACATTTCTCGCTTATCTGCTGAACCCCGCTGATCACTCCAGCTCCAGCTCCCTCCACCTCATTTCCTGCCTTTCCTGCCCACACCTCTGTTGCTCCCCATGTCATCTGACTGCTCCCTCAGTCTCATTCTCACTGGATGAGCAATCTAAGGATGGGGTGAAACCCCAGTGCCTTCATTTCTGAGTTAAGGACAAAACCCATTTGATGCAAAATTTTGCAGCTCAGGCCCATTTCTTCAAGTCCTGAAGCAGGTGCTCTGAGCTCAGAATTGTGCACTTCGGCTCTTGTTCCCCAAGATGCAAAAGCAACTCTGAGGAAGTAGTTCTGAATAAACTGTATGCTAGAAGTGCCCGCCACGCTGTATTTCCAGGTTGGAAAGGATACTCTGCTCTCTGGGAATGCAAATAGATTTGTAGATTCTTATTTCAGGGTTCTTCTTTTTGCTCAAGCTTTATTTCAGGTTATTGCTAGATAAATTTAATCATTTAATAGTAAGCAAAAACAGTAGTAAAAATATTCCACACCTGGACAGTCTGTCTGCTCATACTCTAGGATCAGGGTGCAATTACAGTGTCATCACAGCTACTCCGAAAGCATCAGCAAGACAGCTTAGCAAGTTTACTGACATTTTAACCAGGATATCGGCTCATCTTTTAAGTAACACAGCACTGTCATCAACATACTGATCAAACTTGCATTCACACCTCGCCCATGCTTGGTAACGTTGCACCTAAAGAACAGCAAGGGGAAATTTATGATATACACAGCATTAGCATCAAGCTTTTAACTACTCACAGTGCTAACTCCACCCTGGACTAAACAGAGTGACTCACTTCTGCTAAGCAAAGATCATGTAGTTTGTTATGTTGCTTCTTAATTATCATTCCAGTACAAATCTGAAATCACCTCCATCATCTCTATTTCTGGGATAAGAATGCAGGGTTGCACCCAAGGCTTCTAGCTGTGTATGGTCTAGCTCTACGTCATGAACCTCAGTTGCCAGAAATTACCTCCGAGCAACATTATGACTTGATTATTTTTCTGCTGCAAGTCTATTTTTTTTTCTTTAGTATAAAAGAAAATGGATGTACAAGATCTTCTCTAGGAAATAAAGAAAGACTGACCCCGTCATAAGAAAGTCTTGTTCATGGGCAGTTCTAGAGCAGGAAACTTCATCTATCCTACAGAAGCCAAATACAGGACTGATAACACAGAGCGGTACTCCAAGGAATTCACCATACACAGGAAGGGCTACTGTAGAATTATGGTTCCCAAGTCTTCTTTTTCTGTGAGAGGCACTATATGGGACATCAGCGGAAAAAAAGAGCACATAAAAAGCATACCTGCACATTCTGTAGTTGTTGCATGGCATACCCTGCCTATACAAAGTTTGGGAAGCCTATTTAACTACTGCTTCAGCAAGATTTATCTAGTAGATTCTTACTGAAGATTCTTGAAGGCAATCTGGATTGAGCTAGCTCTGTGGTCAGGAACATAATTGGTGAGGCCCTTCTACAGGTCCCACGCAGCAGGAGACTGCAATGTGAGAACTAAAAATCATCTCCTGCCCTCTGTGCTTCGCTCAGGGTGGTTGGACAAACAGCTGAGCCCACTAGCTGGTGAAGGTCCTGTTCTGCCTCCCCCTCCATCTGCTTTTCCCCTCCTTTCTTCTGCAGCTTCAGGGTCCTGCCCCTTTGCCAACCTCCCTGAACTGAACGGATTCCATTCATTACCTTTCCACCTTTTTGCCAAGCTACATTGCCACTAAGGCACTCAGCTAAATTGAGTGAATGCCCACATGACAGCATGAGGGAGGAAGGACAACTGGGCATTCATATTACTGGCAAAAGTTAGCTATTGAGAGTTCACTGTATCTTGTGGAAAGTTGCCTGCAGAGTTAGAACATTTGACTACGCTTGATCTCTATGCTTTGCTAAAGGACTCAACGTTGACTTGCATTTAAGCGTACCCTTGGCTGCTAAAAAAAAAAAGCGGCTCCTCTCATCCTCTAGCCACTTTCTCTGCATAGCTACATTGCACTTCCTATGCTGCTCAGTTGTCACGTAGCTGCATAACTGTTAGGACTGAGGAAATGACTCAGATTTTTTGCAGCCAAATCATCTTTGCAGTTCAGTACATGCAGGACTGCACAAACTCGTCACAGAGAGGAAAGTGGCTTTTGCTTTTCCTGAGGCAGTAGCAACTTAAACACATAAACTATAACCTGTGTCACTTCCACAAGTACTTGTATCACTTACTTGTGTCACTTGTATCACAACCACTTAAACTTGTATCACTTAAACCATGAATACGCACAAACCACTCTCAAGGTGGTATACACTCTGAAGGTGTAAACTCAGAGGAAGGCTGCTAAAAAAAAAATACAAACACACACACAGAGTCCAATTATAATTTTTTGACAAACACCATTAACCCACACAGTGAACTCAAGGGACCACAGGAGTCTGTACTGTCAAAGAAGATATTGAGTTTCTTAAGCCAACAATCTACAAACAAGATTTTTCAGTCTTTGTTCTTCTTGTAATGTTAATAACCAACCTCCCTCCAACCCTTTTTTTCTGGTGGAGGGGGGGGGAAGAGGGGGGAGAGCCAACTGTTTATTAAGAGCTTTTTAGCAGGGGGTAAGGCATGGGTTATTTTTACATTTGTTTTGCCTTTACTAGAAATCCACAACTACTTCTGCCTACTCAGGGCTCATAAAAAAGGTAACAAGACCAGAATATCAGCTATATGAGGCAGTCACCTGATAGTTGAAAATATTTTTCCATTCAGGCTATTAGAAGTTCTGTGTTTAACACTTCTGCCATCAAGCTGAACTAAAAACCACTGGGTATGGAGGGGGCAAAGAGATCTCTTCTGTGGGATCCTGCAATAAACTACAAGATCTGGGCTGTGGTTCCTATGATTTTTCCATGTGCAGTCTCCAGGATCCCAAAGCCGAACGCAACTTTGGCTTCTTAAATCTGCAGCATGCAGACGCAGTTGTGTTGGGCCAACTTTCACAGCAAGAGAGCAAAATGCCTTCACACACATACACACACAAAGCAAACAAACAAACAACGCCACTGTTAGCAACACTGTCGCTCATTTAGAGCTGTTATATATATAAAAAAGCTCTGCTGCAGCTGGGATGAAATGGCTGAGCTTAGGTCACGCCCTGACTCACAAAGCGTGCAGAGTCCACCGCTCTCGGCGCTCCGCTCCCTTGCGGCGCTGACTGCCCAGCGAGACCGAGCAAGCGGCAGAGTCCTACAATGCTGCTCCAGGTAACCTCGGGCAGTTGCTCCGGGGGCTCAAATTGACCCTTTAGACACCACGACCCCCTGCGGCGCGGCTGCCCCGGCACCTTCCTCGGGGCGAAGGGCTGGGAGGCAAAGCGGGAAGCCGACTCACCTAGCAGGGAACCCAGCAGCAGCAGCAGCACCTCCCCTAGTCCGGCCGAGGCCAGCAGCCGCATCACTGCTCCTCCAGGGCCTCTCTCTAAAGGCAAATGGTTTGCAAAAAAGGAAGCAGGGAACCGCCCACGTCCTATCCCCCTGTTCCTTCCTCGCTCTTGGCCCATTCGCCGCTGCGAGGTGCGGCGATCATAATTCTCTTCCTGCTCGGGACGGCGTTTGGAATTTCTGGGCGGGTCACGGCTGCCGGGGCAGAACTGGGGTGTGACACGGTGCGGCGAGCGAGGCTCGCCGCTCCTTAGAGTGGGGCAGCTGGGGCTGAAATGGAAGCGCTGCCCTTCGACTAGGGACATTTCCACTCAGTTGCCCCCCCAAAAAGCCGGATTTAGAGCATTTGAACGCGTAACGGAAGTCACAAAAGGATTTTCAGTAGTTGTCATGAGGCTCCCATCACGTCGGAAAACTCTGATCCCCCAAACATGCCATGCAACACCAGTTTTCCCCCCCAAGTGGCTGCTGTTCTTTTAAGCAGAAACTTGGCAGTGCCTCATTCAGAGGACTGGGCATTTAATCATCCCTTCCAGCCCATGCTCATGTGTGCTGACCCAAGTAGCACTGCCAAGTGGGAGCCAGCTGGTTTGGGTTCTGTTGAGGTAACCATTCTGCCTGAGTTATGAGGCCAAAAAAAAAAAAAAAAAAAGAAAGAGAAAGAAAGAAAAGCTTAACTTCTGGGTGTTTCGTTCAACCCTATGTGCTCAAAACCTCATTCATGTAACTAAAACAACCTGAATTAACACTCCCTCAGTGTTTTGAAAGTGAATGGTCTCTCAGTACTAGAGAGCAGAAAGGGAAAACACCACAATACTTGGGGAACCTTAGTCAGCAGTGTCTGCCAATACTCCAGCAGCAACTGTGAGTGGCTGTTGAGATAAACAGATGCTTCACTCTCTCCAAATTACACTCACAGACCAAGAAAAATCCAGCTGTTGGTAGGGCCAAGTGCCCATCTTAAATCCTCAAGACATGCTCCGTTTCCAGGAGCTCTTTTGTCTGTCCCGGGTGAGACCATCACAGTATGAGTGATGGATAGGGAGGCCCTCAGGGCAGCTTCACTCCTTGGCTAACTTTCTCAGGGTGCTGAGTTTGCATGTACACTCCTGAGCAACTGTGTCTGTCCATATAGCTCTCCCCACCTCAGCTCCGCTCTTCAAACAACAGTGTCTGCAGTAGTTCAGAAAAAAAAAAAAGAAAAAAAGACAAAAGTGGGAATCTCAAAGCAGATGACTTTCCAAAATCAACCTCAAAGATGCTCCATCACTGAGGCTTTTTTTTTTTCCTTCTAGGAACTCCTGAAAGCTCCTTTGATACACCACTAATGGCTGTAGCATGAACTTGAATAACACTGTACTTTGGGCTGAACTATGCCATCTCAATCAGTTTCTGAAAAAAAAATAATACTGAACAATTCTTCATGGCTATGCTGTAACAACAGGCTTACTTCTATGTCTCAAAACAGGCATGCAAATGGAGTCTGACCAATCCCATACATTCTTTTGACAGAAACAAGCCATTTTAAGTCACAGAAATTTCAGTGATAGAAACCCACAGACAAATTCCTGCCATTCAAATTCTCAGTCTCTGTTAGGTGTCAAAAGAGAGTCTCATTCACTGAGGAGGTTCCAAGTCCCAGTGTTTACACTAGAAAAATATGTATGGCCAGTATAATAGTAGCAGGAGCTACTGTTCTGTGCTATTAAGCCGTCCTTTTGCCAGGTAAAATATTTTCCCAAGATGTCAGGAGTTCAGGGTTAGGCCTCATTGCCTGGAAAGATGTCACGATTCTACCTAACATACTAGAGCTTTCCTGTAGGTTATAAGATTTGGGCTAGCAGCGAGAAGTCTGAAGCAGAGACAGACCGTGTCACTTAGAAAAAGAGTATTTTAGGTTGGAAGGGGCTACAGAAGATGACACACACAAAGCAGGTCCAGGTGGTTCCTACTGTAGCTGCTCCACTTTGGAGAGAACAACTAGAGCCCTATGGGCAGCAAAAGTGAAAGGCAAATTTGAGTGTGGTGGCTAGGATCCTCACCTAGGCTCCTCTCCTCTTAAGAGCATCAGGGATACATAGCAAGGCTGCATTCTCCTTTCTTCCGCATAGTTATGCATTGGTACTAGGCAAGGAGTGCATTAAGGATTCAATAAATATTCATAGCAAAAACTGTTTTTTTCTTCTATTCTGAGTGCTGAAGCTGACTTGACGATGCATTTCCTCTCCTTTGGCCAAGCTGATCTTTAATGTTTTGTTTCTTATTGCCTGATAGGTAGGACAGTCTTCTGAAAGTCAGGAGCTTGAATCACTTTTTGCTGAGATGAGACTCAAATCCAGATCCTCTATCCATCCTAGGGACAGTACATAGGAAGCCTAAGTGCTTAACTCTCAGTTGGGGGTTCTGCTGCAAGGGCAAAAGACAGAAAGTATGGAAGCGGGGATACTAAACATTGCAGTGGTGGGGTGGATTTAGGCCTTAACATGCAGTGAGCTAAGCTATGTATGTATTTCATACCGTTCCTCAAATACAAAAGCAACAGGGTTTTTAAATCATCATCATTTGCTTAAATCACATTTGGATTTGCCTCACAACACGCTGGCTACCCAGCTGCATTGTTTCTGTAACCAGTCGATAACTTTGACATCTTAGGGAATTTCCCCATGATCAGATCTCCACTTGACTCCTGGACCTATTGCAAGGCTTATATATCTCATTCAAGCTGTGGCTTTGTGAGAAATGGCCTTTTCATCTGAATTAGTCCTAATTTTTGCTTGAATGTGCAATCAGGACCATTTTCAAATTTTTATGAAAAGAGTTTTTGCATAAATTAAGTTTGCTTGCTTTAGTTTTCTTCCTCTGACTCATTCTCAAGTGAATCACACTGGGATTTGAGATAATGCACTGCAAGAAAATGTTTTTAAAAATCTAGTGTAGTTTAAAAGTCCCTATTTCTGGTATAATCACACTCATGGAGAAGTAAAAAAAGTGAGACCAGCACATTTTCTGAAGTAACATAGCTGTAGGTACTGAGTAATTATATTTGTAAACAAAGGAAAATCTTAATAATGAAATAGTTCTACTGGTAAAAGTATTTTAAGCACAGAGGAACTGAATGCCTTCCTCTGATTGCATGAGGGACAAAGACAACATGCTGACACAATCAGAAATTTCCTGGAATTACTAAATCTGAGGTTACAGAAAAAAATGTTAAGAAACATTTTTCACTCTTGTTAAGATGAATCTCTTTTTAGTATAGCAGGGTGTCATTTAACAACTTTGAAACTACACACAGTACAAAACTAAATGTACATAAAACTGTACATCTTGGGTTGCAGGTTAGTTAAATGGCAAAGTTGTAATCCCTATGCCTACCCTTTATGCATGGCATTTCCAAACTTTCATAGAACTTGGCAAAGAGGGATGTTTGCATCCTATTACAAAGAGAAAGTGCTTATTTTTCTGATTTTAAGTTTACATATTGAAAGAAGTGTTGGTTGGTTTTCTTTAGGTCCCCTTTGTATTACTTTAAGGAATAACACATTTGCCATTTTCACAAGTGTCCTGATGCTCTGGAGGCCAAACTATGTTTTATGGAAATGTTACTGTTTATGGTATGATTTCATGATTTTATTTAGCTGCTTATTCATTATGAAGTCATCTGAGTCATAATGTTAAATTTGTAAGTGTAAAGAAGGAGGAATGGGCCATTTGCAGTCTAAAGTTAATTTCTGTCTTACATTCAAGGAATACATCTGAGCATGTTGCTAGGGTAAGAAAGAAGTGTGGGTTAGAAGCCAGGAAATGGCTTTTTATTGCAATTTTTAAACTTGGAAAATAGGCGATGTTAACATCAGTAATATACTTGTAGAGACAAGAACGCACATCTCTGCCTGAATCTTGCATAATCATGAAACCAAGTATTTCTGGATTAAAATGTACATGTATATGTGTCTCTGGGAGGATGAAGATGGGGCAAGGCTTCAGTAGCCCATCAGGCCAGGCAGCTGTTGCTGCCTAACTTTCCTTGGGGAACAAGAGGCATTTCTCTGAGGATAGTCTTGGAAGCAAAGATCTTCTGCCTAGGCCAGCTTCTCTTCCTCACAGCCTTTGGCCCAAGCAAACTGGGGCAAGTAAATGACTGCTTTCTCCAATATTTGTAAAGGAAAATAGTATCTGATGCTTTTGGAAAGGCTTTTACTCATCTCTGTGATCCAACTGAGCCGTTTTCTCCAGGTGGTGTTCAAATAAGCAGCTATACATTACAGTCTGAACAGGCATGTTCCTCTCGCTACTTATTGCCATTTAACACAAGCCAGGGGAAAGCTGTCTTGTTCTTCCATAAGAAACACCAACATGCACCACTGAGACTTAGGAAACAAATGAGCCCTTACCTCAAAAGCTAATGCAGCCAGTAAAAAGACACTTCTATCTGTGACAGACAGACTCCTGTTTACACAAAGACCTGAGTATGTTTGTGCATGTAACCTTCCTGATCTGCGTACAGCCAAGCGCTAAGGTCTTATATTAAAAGGCCTGTTGGAAGTATTTGTCTCCTTACAGTACTGGTGCATAACTGAGAGCATCCTTTGGATTTCTTCTAGTATTCAAAATGCAGTCTCCGAAAAAGCTGGAGAGTGTCTCTGATCCAAGGAATACACAGTCTGAACACAGCACAGCAGATTGTCCACTGTTTACATTTTTGCCTGTCTTTTCTTTCATTTTTCAGAAACAATCTGTCACTTTGGCTTATTTGGCAGCCATGGGAACCTGGTCAAAAATAGAAATACAGGAAAGAGACAACAATGCACAAGGACAATACACGGATTCCAGATCCAAGACCTGTCAGTTCCCTGCTACAGTTCTTTCTGGCATGGACATATTTGTGAAATCTTATAATTAATCAGTAAACCTGCTCAGAATTTAGTAGACATAACTAGGCAACAAGGATAAAGCGCTTCAACTGTCAGTTGCTGCAACTGAATTCACTAGCCAATTTCTGAACTGATAACTGCCTTGTGAAAGAGAGTGGGGAGGAAAAGGGATGTCACCATCTTTTTTAACTGAAATGACAGTGAAGCCCTGTGCTGAAACAGACTTTGGTCAATCAAGAGAGGTGATTGCCCCTACTCTATTTTTTTTCCCAAAAGAGCACAAGTTGATCATTAACAGTCAAGCTACTGAAGCCACTCCACAGTCCTGCCACATTTTTTTTTTCCTCTGCATAGTCCTTGTATTTCATACACTATGGACTAACAGGAAGATAGTTGAGGATGTGAAGAGAAAGCCTTTAATTGTTCTTGCT